AATTCATTTATCAAATCTAGGAGTCTTTTGGCAGTCTTTAAGATTTCCTACGTATATGATTACCTCATTGGCAAACAGATAATTTGACTTCCTCTTATACAATCAGGATGTCTTTTATTTCTTTCTTTTGCCTGATTTCTCTGGTTAGGACTTCTAGTAATATGTTGAATAGGAGTGGTAAAAGTGGGCATTCTTGTCTTGTTCCAATTCTAAGGGGGAATGCTTTCATTTTTTCCTTGCATATAACATTGGTTGCAGGTTTTTCGTTTATTATTTTGAGGTATGTTCCCTCCATACCTATTTTGTTGAGGGTTTTTATGATAAAGGGATACTGAATTTTATCAAATGGTTTTTATGCATCTATTGAAAGGAACATGTGGCTTTGATTTTTAATTCTCTTTATGTGGTAGATCATGTTTATTGATTTATATATGTTGAAATATATATTTTTAATGCTTTCAACTGTATTTTGTGACTCCTTCAAGGAATTTTCCATTTCCAGAAGTTCTCTTTATTTTCTTTTTTAAATATCTATCTCTTTGGTAAATTTCCTATTCATATTCTGAATTGATTTTCTGATTTCTTTGAATTGGCTTTCAGATTTCTCTTGAATGTCATTGAGCTTCTTTAACATATTAATATTTTGAATTCTTTATCTGGCATTTCAAAAGTTTCAATTTGGTCATGATCCATTGCTAGAGAGTTAGCACGATCTTTTGGGTGTGTTGTTAACACTGTTTTCTCATACTTCCAGAATTGCTATGTTGGTTTCTTCTCATCTGGAGAAACTAGCTCTTCTCATTTTAGAATTTACTTTTCTTTGGATGGGATTTGTTGGTGGTTTTTTTCCCCCTTGGGTATGTGATTATAATATATGTTTTGTAGAGTCATTTGGCTTTGGCATTTGGGTGTTTTCAGTGGCAAAGACTGTATAAATTCCTTGTTTCTACAGAGCCTTAGAATGGTGGCTTTCGCAAATGCTGGTTGTGGTAGCAATCTATGGAACAAGTGAGCAGCCCACGGCCTCAGGAAGAGCCAGCAGAGGTCTCCAAAAGGTTATCTCATTCCCAAGTGCTGTGCACTTATGTCAGCAGATTTTGTATTAGGCTGTACAGTTCCACCTGTAAGCCAGTAGGTGGCACTTGCAGGTAATAGCCAGCTGCAGCAGTAGCAGTCAGGTTTATGCTTGAACTTTACCAGAAGTCCTCAGTTTCCACAGGCAATGGGCTGGTCTGTGGATTGCACAGTGGCTTGAACTCTCTTCTCATCCCCAGAGTGGGGAACAAAGCTCTGCAGAGTTTGACCAAGCAAGCACCATCCCTTGATGGGAATGTTGAGGGAGCTGCGGAAGAAATCGACCAAGGTCTCCACAGCCTTGGCGGGAACAAATACAATCCATTTCTCTCTCATGCCCCCATCCCAGTGCTCAAGAATCTCCATGCAGTCAGACACCACTATCTATTTCAAGGCTGCAATGTAACTGAGGGTCATAAAAGACACTTGCTCCGTGGCTCACAACCAAAATGGCTGTAGTTCAAAACTCAAAACGCACAGCTCCCTGGCTCTCCTGCTTTCTGCTGCAGGATCAGAGGGGGAAGGTGCCCTGTCTTTCACATAACCTTGGGTTCAGGGGCCACACTATCAGTGGGGACATAGTCATCCCTGACCGTCCCAGAAAGGCTGTCCTCTAGTGCTTCTGTGCCAACTTACTGTGGGAGCAGCTATGACTACGGCTATGTCTGCAGCAGGGGGCGGAGCGGGAGGAGGAATCCCCCTCTCCACGCCTGGGCCTGAGCACTGAGCCCACTTGGCCAGTGAGATGGAATTGCACTCCTGCCTTACAGAGCAGAGCACAGTGTGTGTGTCTCTGCTGAAAGCAGCACTGCCACTCCCAGCCCACAAGTGCGAGCGCTCAGGCTTAGGAGAGTATGCACTCTGGCTTCCTTCGTCCCTGGGGTACTTCCCTGGTGTGCTGCACTCTCCCTTCCCTTAGAAGCAACTTCCCTGGGCACTAAGCCACTGGGAAACCTGCAGCTCCCGTTGGTCCAGCCAGCCCTATATTGCCGCTGCCCTCTGAGTGGGCACTGAGGAATGTGAGCAGCAGCTCCTGAGACGCGGAAACGCAAGGGCTGAGATTCCTTTGGCAGGACACAGTCTCCTGATGGCTGCACTTCAAGTACGGCGTCCAACCACTGCCATTTGTGTCTGCGGGGAGGGTGAGAGGCCTGGCATGAGTGCACCATCTGGTACAATGCCCTGAAGAAGCCCCTCATCACCACCCACACCAGTATTTGGTTTCACGAAGGCAGAGGATCTCTCCCACATGTCAGATACTGGATGTTTGCTGTAGGGGTGAGAGGAGCCAAAACACTTCCACCCACAACTTTCCGAGCAATACCAAGTGGCTCAGGGCTCCCGGCCAATCTCTGCCATCCTCTTGCTTCCTTCTTTTTCTGTGCCCCAGCTTCTTCCCATGAGTTCTCTGCTGTGCTACATTGCTCTCCTCTTGATACTCTGAGTTGTGATTAATTACTTGTAACTTTGGTTCTTCTTTCTGAGAAAAACTGATGTCCAACATCTCTATTCAAACTTCCTGAACTCACACCCCTGTGTCTTAGTTTTTAACAAAAACATTTAAAATGTAAAAAATAAATTAAAAAGTTTAAAAATAGAAAAAAGCTTATATAATAAGGATATAAAAAGGAAATATTTTTGTACAGTTTTACAACGGGTATGTGTTTTAAGCTAAGTGTTATTACAAAAACTTAAAAAATTAAGAAATTAATAAAGTAAAATAATTACTGTAAGCTAAGGTCAATTTATTATTAAGAATGAAGAATTTTTAAAAATAAATTTAGTGTACCACAAGTGTACAGTGTTTATAAAATCCACAGTAGTGTACAGTATTGTCTAAGGCTTTCATGTTCACTTTTTACTCATTCATTGATTCACCTAGAGCACTTCCAGTCCTGAAAAGTCCAGTCATGGTAGGTGCTGCATATAGATGTACCATGTTTTATCTTTTATACTATAATTTTACTGTACTTTTTCTGTTCAGATAGGTTTAGATACACAAATACATACCATTGTATTCCAAGGGCCTATAGTATTCAGCATAATAACACGTTGTACAGGTTTGTAACCTAGGAGCAATAGGCTATGCCATATGCCTAGGTATGTGGTAGGCCATACCATCTAGGTTTGTGTAGTACACTCTATGATGTTCACACAACAAAACTGTCTGATAACACATTTCTCAGAATGTATCCCCACTGCTAAAGGACTCATGATAAACTATGTACTACTATTCTTGAAATATTTTGTTCAAGCTAATATTTTGTTCAATAAAAACAAGCTAATGTTTTTATAAACAATAAATAAATTAAACAAACTAATATTTACAATAAACTAATATAAACAATAAAACAAGCTAATATTTTGTTCAATAAAATATAAAATATGTTTAAAGTATTATCAAATGTATACACCTGTTATTCATGTGTTCCTTCAATCAGCTGAATCTAGAATTTCAACTAATATCATTATAAATCTTTGAAATATTTTCATATTAAAAGTGTCCCATCCTTAAAATATTTGGAAACCAACTCTATTTTTCTTTTTTCCAAGTGACTTTGATTATTCCTTATGTTATTTAGTTACCTATACAAATTTAGTATTGAAAATAAAGTTTAGAGATGTCATGATTAGGCATCTCAGAAAATTTACTGCTTTACAATAAAAATTAAACAAAATATGATGCTTTAGACATAAAGGCTCTATCTGCTTCTAGCCTAAGGACTGTAAAAGTGTTTTAACCTAAAAGTCTCTTGGGTCATTTTAAAATAAATGGTTTATTCTTTTGATATTAAGCAATTTATCTTCTGAAAATTATTTTCTACCGTAGAACAAGGACCCTATATATAATTAGGTCCCTGCATCAGGTTCTATGGGAGGTGGCAATGGTGAATATAAATGGAGAGATCTAAAAATGATTTTTCATAGGTAAAATTCATCTCCAAATGTTTTCAATTGGGATATATATAATTCCAGATTGAAGCAGCATTTTTGTTTTAGAGAACACAAAAATGAGCATATGCTTTGATCTAATTTCTTAGAAATATAAAATTCATTTAAAAAATCAATTTCCTGCGAAAATAACTACTTGTTGCATTTGTTTTAGTAACTGGTTAAATGCTGGCATCCATAGTAGAGATTTAATGTATACATTACACAAAACAAGAGCCGCTTTCATATTTATTCCATTTAGAACTATGCCATATGTATACTCAAACATAATTACATAACATATATCGAGAGCTGTGATCTTCTACCCACAGAAAAACCTTACTGGTGCTCTAGAATATGTAAAAATAACATATTAAATTCTGAAATATACATGTATTTAGTGCTAAGTATATATTGCTCATTTCTGTTTAAAAGTGCTGATAGATGTTAGTTAAAATTTGAATATTATAAAATGAACATGTATCATATAAAAACTCTCACAAACTATAAGTTTTAATAAAATAAAAATAAAATTGTTGAGATTTTTTTCTTCACTATTGGTCATATCTTCTCATCCTCCCAAATTTGTGAGGAATATCCCAGCATCCTAGAAGAGCTCTGTGGTCACTCTTCTCTATAGGTCAGAAATTACTGTGTAACTGCTACAATAAAACTAAGATTCCCAAATGCAATGGGATTAAAAGGATCCTAAGTGGTAGGGTCCAAGTGGTAGCACTCAATTACCAAACACAAGGTAACCATGATTACTGTAAGGGACAGCAGATACAAAGCAGTGATCAGAATAGTTAGACTCACAGAGACCTAAGATGTTGGCTAGTTGGTCATGGTTTCCCTAGAAAAATATATATATATTAAATTCTTACTTAATCTGTATAAGTAGAAGATTTCTAGATTCTGTGATCAGAATATAACCTCAGTCATCAGGACAAACTCATGACCCCTTAATCAATTCCAGACTTGTACAGTTAACATACCAAGAATCTCTTGAACGAAGGGAAAGCTGGGTCCAATTGAGGAAGGACATAATTGTTTTTACAAAATTAAGTACCTACAAAAATAATGGTTTTAGTGATTATCAAGGTTACCCGAAGCAGCACACAATAAATTTAAAATGAGAACAAATCTAAAATGTGTTTAGAATATTTAGATCTATTAGCAAATAAGATCATATTTGAAATGAAGCACCCATGAAAATGAGGACACATGGTATATTTAATCCATAAATGACAAACTTTCTCTGAATTTGCTTCTCTTTCTGATTTAAAGAAAACATTTTATTTTTTGTATCTTCAGAATCACAGCAAGAAACAATGGCTCTTATGATCTTTTAAATTTGGCTAGAATTTTTAAAAATTACTCCTTTTTCATTTTGCACTTCCTGGGCCAGAATGAAACTATTAAGACAACATCCTTGTGAATTAGTACTTGAAAATAATTTCATTGTTACTTTTTCTGTAAAAATCTCAAAGAAATTTAGAATAAATATCTACAAGTCAGCTAAAACCCTTAACAAGTCAACCAGGTGAGAGAGAGACTTAAAGAAACTTAGTAAATATAGGATAAAATAATTTGACTGAGTAAAATACATAATATTTATATTAATAAGAGAAATGGGTTAATTTATTATATTTAGAAAAAACAAGATTTGAAACTGCACCACAAAGTAAAATATAACAGCTTTCTACATGTAGGTAATCTATCCAAAACAAAGCGATTCAAAAGGATTTAAAATAAAGAGGAAATACATCTAAACCTTCCAAGGGAAAGGCTAAGATATACAATGTAACCCAAAGGTCAAAAAAAGGGAAAAAACAAACAAACAAACAAACTTTTATCGGTGGTGGGCAAATGGGAGGGGGGAGGAGGGTAAGAATTTACACTTACAAAATAGGTGTGATGGGCACCACCTGAGAGTAGGACATGCTTGATGTTTTGGTAAGGCTAGGGGGGAGGGCGTGGGGAGAAATGGCAGGGGCAATATATGTAACCCTAACAATATTTGTACCCCCATAATATGAAAAAATAAAAAAAAATAAAGAGTTAGGAAATAGCATTATAATATGTGCACATACTAATACAACAAGAGTGAGCTCCTGATCTCAGACAAGGTAAAATTCAGACAGTAAAGTCTCAGATAATGGAGAGGCATTTTTTCTTCCCTGCAGGAGGGAAAAAAAAAAAAAAGGCCTCCAAAGGTCTTTTTTATTCCCATGTTCATTATTTTGAAACCATATGAAAGATAAAGCTTTTCTCAGACTGTTCACTAATTAGGTAAAAAAATTAAACAACCAACCAACCAAAGAAACAAACAAACACCTCATAACTGATAAGCAGTTTCCTGAAATAACACTGAGATCCCCTGCAATGCTAATATGAACAACCAGCTGGCAAAAGATGATAAGGACGCAGTCATATTTTTAATTGGCGCTTGTTCTGAACACTTATATTAGAATAGTTATAATACCAACTACATGAATAAGTGACAATTATTATATGTTAACAAAAATCACATTTCTCTTAATTCATAAAGATAAAAAGTAAAAAAATATATTCATATATAATCACAGTTAGAGGAACCTTATTGAAATGAATGTTTATTCCTTACAAAAATTGAGAACAACTACATTTCTACAGTGATTGCACTTAGTGTAACACGTGTTTAAAAAATTAATCTTAACTCCATGCCAGTTTCAGTCTAGTAAGTAGAATGATCCAAAGTTATATGCTTAGACTGTTAGCATTATATTCTTTTAAGCTCTCATGATTTGATGGAAAATTGATACAAGACTTGACTTGTAATGTTAAGTCTCCCAATAATCTAATTTTTAAATTTCAGAAAACAATTTTATTTTACTGAGCCCCCCATATGCTTACTTACAAAATATAGTGTTCAATTAAATTGTATTCAGTAGCAATTTCTGTTCTAACATTTTGAAGTGTTTAACTTTTTAGAATCCTTTATTGAAATATAAATACTCAAAATTAATTATCTTATGCTACTTTCAAACTTTTCTTCCTTAAAATTATAATACACATATTGCATATATAATTACATGAGCAAAGTAAGTGAATTGCACATCAATAACTAAAACAAATTTGCATAATGTAATACTCTTGCTAAGTCTGAAAGACCCTATATACTGTTCTTTTCCCTTTTATTTTTAAAAATATTACTCTTGAACCACTAGGTTAATATCACAAATTACTAACAGTTTGTGATCCTACATTTACGAAAATAACTATATCTTTATGCAGATCTGTAATCTCTGTACTTTGAATAATTTGTAGATACTGATAGATTTTATGGGCATCTATGCATGAAGACTAAACAATTGCAAATAAATGTGTTGTGATAAAACAAAGTATATAACAAGGTTATTACTACAAATTTGTGATGTATATATTCATTAAATAGATAAGTGAATGAGAGAAAGGGAGCTATAGCACATTTAAAAATTTTTTAAATTATTGTTATATTAGTTTTATATTATTTCAGAGTATTACAGGGGTACAAATGTTTTGGTTACACAAATTGCTTTTGTACAGTTTGAGCCAAAGTCGTAAGTGTGCCCATCACCCAGATAATGTGCCTTGTACCCATTAAGTGTGAATTTACCAACTCCTCCTCTCCCTTGCCAGCTGCTTGATTTCTGATGAGTTTTATTTTCATATGTGCACATAAGTGTTGTTCAGTTAGTTTCAATTTAATGGTGAGTACATGTGGTATTTGCTTTTCCATTCTTGTGAAATTCATTTCGAAGAATGGTCTCCAGTTCCACCCAGGTTAATACAAGAGATATTAGTTCAACATTTTTTATGGCTGAGTAGTACTGCATAGTATACATATACCACATTTTATTAATCCACTTATATATTGATGGGCACTTGGGTTGTTTCCATATCTTTTCAATTGTGAATTGTGCTGCTATAAACATTTGGGAGCAGCTGTTTAATGGTAGCTCACTTTTAGTTCTTTGAGGTATTTCCATACTATTTTCATAGAGATTGTACTAGTTTGCAGTCCTACCAACAGTGTGATTAGAGATGTTGAGCATTTTTTCATAGGTTTTTGGCCATTAGTCAATCTTCTTTTGAAACATTTCTGTTCCTGTCTTTTGCCTACTTTTTAATGGGGTTGTTTGATTTTTTTCTTACTGATTTGCTTGATTTCTTTGTAGATTCTGGTTATCAGCCCTTTATCAGATGTATAGCATGCAAACATTTTCTTCCATTCTGTAGATTGTTTATTATTAGCTCTATTGATTGTGTCCTTGGCTGTGCAGAAGCTTTTAAAATTTGATTAAGTCCCGTTTATTTGTTTCTGTTGATGCTATGATTGCTTCCAGGGTCTTCTTCACAGATTCTTTGCCTAGGCTGATGTCTATATGAGTTTTTCCAACATTTTCTTCTAGAATTCTTAGAGTTTCATGCATTAGGTTTAAGTCTGTCATCAATCGTGATTCAATTTTTGTGAGTGATGAGAGGTGTGGACCCTGTTTTAGATTTTTATAACTGTATGCAGAACCCCATCTTTAGATTCATCCAAAAGGGGGGCAGAATGTCCACCAAGATTCATATATTCAGGATTTCACCCAAATAAGAAGAGTGATTGTGAGACAAATAATTTAAAAGTCTACTCTGGTTATCAAAACTATTCATCAGAATACTATATTGGCTGGGTCAGTGTTTCTGGGATTTCTAAGACCACCACCCTGACCTATGGTGATTCACTAAAGTTAGGTCTGCCTCAGTGTTCCCTTGTCCTTGGTTCTCAGTGTCAGGAATGAGTACTGGTACAGAGTTAAGCCGATGACAGAGTGATCACAAACACAAAGCAATCCCACACGCACATTGTTTATTGCAAAGCGAAAGTATGTCTCGGAGAGACAAGTGATTCTCCGCTAATGGAGAAGACACTGAAGTCTTAGCACACACTGTCTTTCATATGCTTAGTAGTGTGTCCTGCCTTTCTCCTGGGTGGATTGGTTACCATTTTCTGCCTTTGGGTGATTGACATGTTGGGGTTATTTATCAGGTTACACATATAACAGCTTCCTTTCTATGCATACATCTTCCCAGAATCCTTCACAAAAAAACTAAGTGGGGTGGGGGAAAATGCTAATTAGATGGTAATGAGCCTCAGGTCAGTTAAGGTCCCTAGGACCTCCTCACTGCACATGCTCAGTCTAAGAAAAAGTCTCTGGCCACAAATATCTGATATTGTGGTTTCTTTTCTGCATTCTGATTGGTTCCCACCCTCCACCTTTAGGCACTTTCTCTATCTGCCTTGCCTCCTGCTTGCCCTCCACCCAGACCTAACACTAAGACACATGGGACTCTGCAGATAGTTGTGTTCACTTCTAAAATGTATTGCAGTAAAAGGATATACAATAGGATTAGCAAAGGAAAAAGACACAGAAAAAGTCTGTAGAAATCCATACACAGTCTTGGAATGTTGTCTTCCTCCCCAAAAAGAGCACACCAAACACACACCTTTCCCAGGCAGTGAAAAGTGCAGGAAAATATATGCAATGTTTCTGCCAAGGGAAGCCCGTTAGAGACTCAGAGGTTGTATTAATTTGCTAGGGCTGCTGTAACAAAGTATGACAGACTGGATGGGTTAAACAATAGAAATTTATTTTCTTTCCATTCTGGAGGCTACAAATCTGAAATCAAGGTGTCAGCAGGGTTGATGTCTTTATGATTTTCCATCTGGTCAGGTCTGTGTCCCAATCTCCTCTTCTTGTAAAGACACCAGATACTGGAATAGGGCCCATCCTAATGACTTCATTTTACCTTTATTGCCTATTTAAAGACCCCATCTGAAAATACTGTCACATTCTGAGATACTGGAAATTAAGATTTCAACATATAAAGTTTTGGAGGCATAATATATCCAATAACAGATTCCAAAGTTTTTATGGAGACTGATCAAGTTAAGCACCTGCTCCTAGTAAATATCAAAATTTCAAACTCCTAGATATATGGCAGGCATTCAGCATAAACCACATTGTTAATACAAATAGTGTAGGCACAATGAACTAGCCTTATCAGTTTGTGAATAGTTAAACTGCCAAATTCCCAGGCACCAGCCAAAGCCAAACTGTGCAATAGGCATTTCTAAAAGAGAGCAGTCTCAGACCTACTTTCTTAAATTTTTTGTGCTCAGTCAAGCTGATAATTACAAAGTCATTTTCAACTTGTGGTATATTTTTATGTCAAATATATACATTTTATTTATTGTGATTATTTATTTTTGCTTTTATTTTTATAAAACAAAAATTATAAAATTTTGCAGTTTAGTCCATAATAAGCATTTTGGTTACTTTTCCTCATCACCTTTAGACCCTTTATCTATCACCTAAACTTAAATAATTTAAAAAGTAACTGATAATTATCTAAGGATTTTGTTTAAAGTTGGCAGAGTAAAAGTTTCTTTACCCTGGTCAAAAATATAGACTGAAAATTGAAGGAAATAAGAGGGGAATCTCTATATCTCTGAAATAAAAGAATAATCATATAAACTAGTTTTAGCCATTACCTAAAACTACAACCTATAAGAAAATTCTATTTGCTATATTAATAAAAAGAGGACACTAACTGCAGGTATATACCTTCTCACTTCTCCATTTGTGGAAGGATACATTAGTGTACCTGCTTTGAGAGAAGCATGACAATATCTATTTAAAAAAAAATACAAATGGGCATGTCCTTTAATCCAGCAATCTAGGTAAAAGGATGCTTATTGTAGAATTTTTATAACATAAAATATTTAAACATTCATAAATAGAAAGCTAGTTGAATAAATTATGGTAATTACGGCATTAAATACCACATATATATGGTTAAAAACTAAATTAAATCCCATTGTGCTCATTTGGAATGATCTTCAAGATATATTGCTCAGTGAAAAGTATAACATGTGGAACTCTGAACACTTAATGTTTCATAAGATATGTTTACAAGTTATATAAGGATACACAAACTACTGTTGTTTGCTTCTGGGTTGAGAGTATTAGGATCCAGAATTAAAATGTGAATTAATTTTCTTTTTCCTGTGTAGATTTTTGCCCACACATGTATATTAATTTACCAAGATAAAATGTGCTTCCTATTCCTCTAGGAGTACCAAAATGATTAAATCAACTGATAGAAGGATAAAGTTTGAGAAAAGCTATCATAGAAATCAATACATCTTGGAATTTATGATACCATAAAGGATCAGGTTGATAATTCAGACTCATAGACTCAGAGATCTTATCCAGTATCAAGCCTCATGAGTAATTTCAAGGGTACATGTAATGGTAAAGCAAAGAGAGGTCCAGGATGTCTAGTGCAGTTCACTAAGTCCTACCATATTAATACCATGTCATATGAATTCTGGCCCAAGCAAACAGATGCACTTTCTATGCAGTAACCTCACTATCACAGAAGGGACCAGTTAAGTTACAAAATATCAATATTTTATACTGAGTTACATAATTACATAACATTTTCCAAGGAGACATTATCCCATATATTTCAGTTTGTTTACCCTAAGTAATTTAAAACAATTAAGCATATCCTGGTAAAAGTATCCTGTAGCAAAACACTCTTTTGCTATCAAAAACTTTATGGTTGTTATTGTTGTCTTGCTGGGTGATTTGTCATTAGTATGTTTATAAGAGAATTAGTTCAGGCCACTTGCCTTCTTTCTTTCCCTGAAGCACCCCCAGGGAATGGAGAGAATGTGTTGCAGAAATCCAGCTTAACTTTTTCCCTTCCAGATGGCATGAATGAGTTCCATGGACATGCTGCTCAAATATATTTACCTAGAATGAGGAGAGAGGTGGTCAATTCTTAGGGGTCAAGAAAGAAATTAGTAATTAGTATAATATACTATATAGTTAATTTACATTCTTCTATATTAAGCACAGAAAATTACTGAAATGGATGAAAACAAAAATGGATTTTGATAAATAGGATTGTAATGGATTATTAAAGTATGCAAAATAGTTTAGGGATTGTTATCTCTAACATTTGAGATCTATCAAGTGGAGAAATCAATGCGTCAATCTTTTTATAACCTGCCCTTCATGCCTCTGTCAGGCTTTGTCAGAGTCATGGTACACAGTATAGATGATGAGGATACAAGCAGGTGCCTTTAATGTTGGTTTGCTATTATTTTCTTTAATTTTATACTAGTGAAATCCAACATCCCAAAGCAAATATGTACATAGTTTTTAAAAATTAAGATGTAAGAAATAAAGTTATTCAAAAAAATGGTGAGGAGAAAGAATTGTTTGGTGGTTATAACTGAGCCTATTTCAAAGCTTTACAGGCAAACATTTAATTTCTCCAAGCCCAAAGTCCATCTTTGAAAAACAGAAATCATAATAACTGTCTCACAATGTTAGTGAAAGGAGTGCATACTTTGTTAGCTGACTACCAGTACATATTATAGTAAGCATTACTTATCTATTGCTATATAAAATAAACTGTTCTAAAACATAACATTTCAAAATAACAAACATTTAGTATCTCACAGTTTCTATGTCTAGGAGGTTTTGTGTGCATATGGCTCAAGGTCTCTTACAAGACTATGCTCAAACTGTCAGCCAGGGCTGAGGTCTCAACTGAAGGCCAGATTGAGGGAGTATTTGATTCCAACTCCAATCACATGGTTTCAGGCAGGATTCAGTTGCTCAATGGCTGTTTGACTGAGGGCCTCAATTGCTCCCTAGGTGTAGGCCAGAGGCTTGCCTCAGTTCCTTGCCACATGTTCCTTGCCTCAGTTCCTCTTCATAGGTAGCTCATGACATGTCAGCTGGCTTCTTTCACAGTAAGTAAACAAGTGAGTAGAAGAAAGTGAGCAAGGAAAGAATACTTTGGCAGTGATATAACATCATGTTTGCCATATTCTATTTGTTAGAAGCAAGTCACTTGGTCTAGCCCACTTCTAAGTGTTAGAGACTATGCAAGAGAATGAATACTGAAGTCAGGGATCATTGGGAATCATTTTAGAAGCTGTCTACCACAATAGACCCTAAATGGTTAGGAGATATTATCATTATATTAACATAATTTTACTGACAGTTACAGTAAATTGTATATATAATAGTAAATTATTTACTTTTCATTTATATATAAAATTATTAAACTTAAAGACCTCTATATTTTTTAGCATTGTTTTTGGAAATAATAAAGTGGGTATTTTAAAAACAAACTGCAGCTACTTGATTAGTAAAACAAAAATGCCCATTTTGCAGAATATTTTCTAGCTATTTTTTAAACTTTTCCCCCCAAAACACATTTAACATATGATAACAGTGACTGAGACTGTGGGGGCAATGTACTACAACAATTATAATGAAAAGAAATAAAAGTATAAAATTCAAAGTCCACCCCCTCCAGTTCTCTCACTATGATTTTAAGCTAGAAAACATGGGACAATAGTTAGGACCACATGGACGTGAGATGACTGCCCACTATTTAAATTAGTCACTTTTCCAATTGATGTTTCTCAATCAATGATATCACATGGTATAATTTTAGAGAGGAGAAAACTGAAGCCATGAGTTGAAATAAGATTTAAACCCAGGCACTCTTACACTTATATCTATACTACTAACACTGTGCTATATGTTCCTAATGCCTCTTACTACCAAGAAATTTTATCCACCTGTGATGTGCTGTATGTCTGGCTACTTTAAATTTTAACACTAAACTGGAAATATTTTTATGTTTTAATATACCTTTTATTTTATATTTCACTTGGATTTTTACATATTACCAAAAAAAGTTACTTTATTTTTTTTTTCCTTTTTTTGTTTCAGCATCTTACAGGGGTACAAATGTTTAGGTTACATATATTACCTTTGCCCCACCCGAGTGAGAGCTTCAGGCATATCCATCCCCCAGACGGTGCACACTGTACCCATTAGGTGTGATTATATCCACCCTCCTCACCCCCCTCCCACCTGCCCAACACTTGATGAATGTTATTATTATATGTGCACATAAGTGTTGATCGGTTAATACCAATTTGATGGTGAGCACATGTGGTGCTTGTTTTTCCATTCTTGTGATACTTCACTTAGTAGTTACTTGACATTTGATGAATTATTCACCTTTATAGGATGGTTTACTTCAAAATTTTGAGTCAGTTTTGTCAGCAATTTAAGGAGAAGTGGTTAATCAGAAGAAGTAACTATTTAGAAGCTAAGTTTTTATCTGGCAGAAATAGACCACTCCAGGGAGTACAGGTGGGTGATAATCATTTATGCTTTTTGCCTACTTTTACTGAATCAATTAAAGAAGGTTTATTGATTTATTTCCATATTTGTTTCTACAAGTTCTGGGATCATTTAGAAACTCACATATATCATGAAAGTTCTGATATCTATATTTTTGTTATTACTACATAGATTCTTATTCTGAGCCCTCTGTCATATGAATATCCTTGACAAAGCCTTTCTTGGCATGCCAATATATGAATATAATTCCAACAGCAGAATGTTCTGTAATAATTGGGTCTCAGTTGAATGGTGCCCCCCTAAAATTCATGTCTACTCATAACCTTGGAATATGAGATTATTTGGAAACAGAATATTTATAGATGTAATCTGGCTAAAATGAGGTTATACTGGGTTAGCATGGGCTAACCCTAATCCAATGGTTGGTATACTTACAATAAAAGAGAAATTTTAACACAGAGACAAACACACACAGAGAAGCAAACGTGAAAGCAGAGGCAGAAATTAGAATTACATATCTATAAATCAAAAACGCCACGGATTGCCATCAATAACCAAAATCTATGAAGAGGTAAGGAAAGATCCTCCCAGAGAGCCTTCAGAGAAACCATGGCCTTACCAACAACTTGATTTGGGGCTTTAAGCCTCCAGAACTGTGAGAGAATAAATTTCATTTCTTTTATGACACCTGGTTTGTTGTACTTTGTTACAGTAGCCCTAATAGAAACTAATACACACTTACAGCATGATGTTTATATTAATATCTCTCTGATGGGGTCTGTATTATTCTGCCTTTTATTGTATCTACCTATACCTAATTTACAGCCTTTAACAGTATTCTAGCATTCCACTTTGATTACTGTATCTCTATTTCCTCTCCTGTTTGTTTCTCAGGTATTTGGTTAGACTACATTGCAATCATCACTATACATTTCTGGGAAGAAGTCTTAAAACCTTTCAAGTTTGTCTCAAACTTTCTTGTTTTTCTTAGAGTGATTATGTCATCTTTGAGTATTTCCTGCATATTTGTCAGAATACTATGTGATGAAACTACTCTATGGCACGGAAAGAACCACTCAAAAAGAGTGCTGGGGTTTCACAAAGAGCTGAAAACAGTATTTGTTTCCACAAGCCAGACTGGAAAATCTCTTGATTGAGGAAGCATTGGGTACAGTATTCAGGAAGTTCTTGTCTCAGAATGGAGCAATAATTAACTCTAGACTGAGGACTATTCTGGTCTTGCATAATAGCTCTTAAAGGTAAGACCTAACAGGAGCAAGGTGTTTACTGATAACTTTAGAAAGAGCAGAGTCCTGCTATCAGCTTTCCAGTCTTCCAGCTAAAGTTCCAAATGTCATAGAGAAGAGACAAACTGTCTCCTCTGTGCCTCATCTGAATCCCTAAACATCAGAAACTACTAG